TAAATATATCTTTTAAAATGAGAGGCCAGATTTTTTTTCATTTTTCGTAATTTAGACGACACTTTTTCCATATATACATACATACATACATACATACATATATATATATATATATATATATATATATATATATATATATATGACCACATATATCTATATGTATCTCTGTCACTTTTTATCTATAGATAAACATGTATGTATACGTATATCTACATGTACATACACATACATGTATGCACATATATATATATATATATATATATATATATATATATATATATATATATATAAAGTATCTTTTAATTATATCTCTATAATTTTTGTTCTTTCTCACTTCCTCGTTGTACTCTCATAAAATCGTGGCAATTTTTTTATGCACTTCTTTTCTTGTATAAACCCAGATTTCAGTTTAGAAGATAAAAATTTTCAATTTCCTCGCGAAAAGCAAAAAGCTAGCAAAGTAAAGAAAGGAATTGTGGCTATCAGAAATTTGTCTACGTACATCCAACCGGAAGTTAACGCGATTAACACAGGTGCTTATCTCATGAGACATTTGTTTGGCGGGAAAGTGCAGAACGGGAATGAATCGAGGGCGATGGGGGATGAAAATGGCAGAACTTTACGATAAACCAAACGAAGTGTTGACATCGTTACAGCGTTTATTTTTGGCGATATGTTTGATATAATTTTTTTTTTTTTCGCTTTTTAAAATGTTTCCTCATAGATTAAATTTGAATCACCACCGTTAAGGATTTTTTTCTTCTTTTTTTTTTTTTTTTTTTTTGTTAGATTTGGATATTTTATTTGATAAATATTTTATAACACCTGGATAACTTGTCTCCCCCGAATTTGTTTCCACACATAGCCATAGCTATTTTATTAAAATAAAAAATGTGCTAAATTGTGAATGATCCTTTCTTTCTCTTGTCAGGTAGCGTAAAAAACTCGTCATTAAAACTGTGGTTTTGAAAAAAATACAGTGATATATGTTATAACAATTTGTATACTTATAATCGGAAAAGATGAAAATTCAGGGACAGTTAAGAAGGGTTTGGGGAATTTAACACTGACAGGACATATTGAATGTAAAATGGGTTGTGAGAAACAGTGAGTTACATATCTGTAAGTGAATGGTAGAGAGAATGGGAGAAATGGTAAAAGGATAAATGTTCCTTAGAGGCCAGGAAACTGTGGAGAGCAGTGAACGCTCAGATCCTGAAGAGATATGGTGTATGTTGACGGCATGACGATTTATCCATTTGCCGAAATTAATGTACTGTCTTCCTATAATTATTGTATATATCTTACTATAGTTTCCTAATTTATGTACTTATAATTGTGTACATTAATATAGCTCAGAAATATATATGTACTTTAATAAAATTTCTTCAAAATTCTTCTGTGAGCCGCATCCCTTCAGGGCATCGGCGATCATGGTTCTCCACATCTTCCTATTCTTTATGGCCCTTGGTAGTTTTTCTCTCTTTGGTAAAATTCCTGTACCTCCCCCATTCCGTCGAATCATTCACACAAGCTCATCAGATAAGCGGCTGGCTGTTTTTCCCTATCTCACGTTCACTCAGTATTCCTAGTGAGGATTAAATTTTTCAAGCCCTCTTTCCACATTATGTGTCTAAGAAATTTCATCTGTTTCTTCCTGATTCTGAGTATAAGTGTTCTTTCTGGTGCCATTTTCCTTAAGACGCCCTTGCTGCTTACTCACTCCGCCCATGGAATTCTCAGTATCCTTCTGTAGAACCACCGTTTTGTTGTTTCACATTTCTCTTTATCCGTAAAGAGAATGTTCAGCATTCACTGTTATATAAGAGGATGGATATCCAGCACTCTTTTCTTTGTTTCTAACGATATTTTCGGTACCTCAGCACCTTGCTTGGTTTTTGAAATTTATCGTTCCGTAGTTCAATGTGAGATCGTTTTTTTTTCTTTTGTCCCATTTTGCATCCTCTGTTAAAACACTTCCGAGATATTTAAACTTCTGCACCTGTTTGGTGTTGACATCTCCAATTTGAAACTCGCTTTTTGGGACAAGAGAGGTAAAAAGAAAATTGATATACATACATAACATCTTCTGATAGGACAATCAGGTGTCTATTCATATATATATTAATAGTTTTTGGAAATCTTTATTTAGTAACATATAAACTGGTAGCTGGAATTGCATTAGTAGGACCCTGGGGACGGCAACGCCTATATCAACCAGAAAGTGACACGTAAGCGCTGACAAAGACTGTCGCATTTTCCATCCTTTTTTAAAACACTTCCAAACATTTAAACTTCTGTACTTGATTGATGTTGACATCTTCAATTCGGAAGTCATATCTTGGGCTTATTTCTCTTGATGATAGCCATAACTTCTCTCTTCTTGTAGTTAATAGTTAGTCAGCCTCACTATAAAAACCTAAATCATGGTCTTCGAGGCCGTGGTCCTTTCCACCCTTCTGCACGCTAGCGAGACCTGGACTTTGTATCGTCGGGATATCAAACGTCTTGAGCGGTTTCAGCAAAAGAAGATCCGGAGAGTCCTTCGTATCACCTAAGACGGAGTTCTCTCTCGGGCATCTCACTGCAGCATCGAGGCTACCATCCTTCAACATCGCCTCCGCTGGGCGGATCACGTGTCCAGAACGCGTTCCACTCAATTCACACGTATCATCCCGTTTAGAGAACTTGCTAGCGGCAAGAAGCTAGGCGGAGGCCCAAAGCGACGCTACAAGGATCAGTTGAAGACATCCCTGACAAAGGTCAATATCGACCCTGGCACCTGGGAAACTGTTGCTGCAAATCGATCTTCTTGGCGTAGGGCCATCTGTTTTTTTCTTCTTTTTGGGGTGGGGGGGCTGGGGGCGAGAATTTCGAGTCCAACCGTTAAAATGAAGAGGATCTGCGACGTGCTGTCAGGAGGCCCGACTCGTGCACCTGCGTTCACCACCCACACTCCTCAGTGACTCCTGCTCACGTCTCTTCAGTAGTAAGCTAGGACTTCACACCATGTTCGTCACTGCCACCAGAGGGGAGAAAGAGAATGAGAGATGTCGATTCCAATGCTCGGATTCTAGCGGGTGCTGTCGAAGATAGTTAATCCATTTTCTTGTGACTCTTATGCTACCCTATTTAAGAGATCCCGTAGTTTTCTTTCCATATCAGCCATCAACACAATGGCATCTCCATATCCTATATTGTTAAGATTACAAACAGCGATTGAAAATAGCCCCGTAATCATTATATATTTTAATATTACCTCTTAAAATTCATGTACTTTAATATGATATTATAACCCTAGCGTTCTTTAAAATATTTTCGTGACATTTATGTACTTTAACCTTATTTACTCTCCGTAGTCCTTAGGTAATTCATGAGAACTGCCAAAACCTAAATTCATAAACATGCGCTTTATTATTCACACTACATTCTTCAGATTGTTATCCCTGAGTTCATTGCCATATTCATGAGGATTCCACCATTGTACGCTCCAGCCGTCTTCAGGCATAACAAGTGAAACTAGAACAATCTAACCCCTTGGATGAAATAAAGTGTTCATTTCTAAAGTTCCAGTTATCTGAAGAAGGCTGGAGCGTATAACGGTTGAAACGTTGTGAATATACCAACGAAGATGAGGAAAACAGTCCGAACAATGTAAATAGTGTAAATAATTACAATGCCACATCTCGTAACTATAGACAAATGCACTTTATTCTTCGGAAAATTGTCATGAGAGTTTAAGTCCCATAGTTTGATGTCTACAATAGTTGAAACTTTGAACGAATATTGAAGACAAAAAGAGGGCGTATGATACACAAGTACACTTTTTCCGAAATTTTTACTCAGCTTAAAAGGCTCTTATTTGAAACAAGATTGCAAATACACTCATCAGAACAGATAATAAAACACAAAGTCGGCAACTGATGATAACAATTGTTTGATATGACGTCAATATTTGTTTCTCTCTTCGTTCTCGGTGAAAGACAATATTTATTTTATTTTCGTATTTTATTAATATATAGACATATAATAAAGACATCAAACAGAAAAAAATGTATGATAAATTAATCAACACCTTAAAATTTATGGCCGGTTATGTCTAGTTAGCGCCTTTCTTCGAAAATAAATTTTGAAACGGAAATTAGAAGAAACACGCAACAGTTAAACATCCGGTTCATTTCTAATCGTTAATATCGTGAAAAATATTTTAGTAAAATATATCTACGACATTGAGATTTTAATGGATAATATGGCACACCATTTCAAAACGTTATATAGAGGTGGTTGTATTACGGATGCAATTTATTTCCTGTTTTTAGCTTCAGAAAAACGGGGCCGTATGACACTCGAGTCGTATTATACACAAGAAAATACGGTACTGTTTATCGTCAGTGGAGGATTTGGAATGAATGCACGTGGAAAAAGAAATATTCTTCCTGTAATGATCAGGTGTTTCTTGAAAGAAACATTATGTTTTCATGGTTTCGATTCTATTAATCTAACTACACATAAAATTCACTGATTTTATGTTTGACACTGCTAATTGACAATAATTTAGAGTTAGAGTTAGAGTAGTTAGATGGGTGACCGCTTGGAAATACCACTTGCAGTAATCTTGGATGTGCCGGGAGTTTAATGGATAATGGCTCGGAATTGTTAATCGGAGAACTGAGTTCCAGTTTAACTTGGTTTCCTTATATTCATTTACGCGCAAATAAGTTTGGGAAGAGTATGCATCCACTTCTTGTCCCCTAGCTATGGGTTAATTAGTAAAACTTGTATCAGTAAATTATTATTATATTAAATAAAAATATTCGTACAATGTAAATATATTTTCTGCAAAGGGTTGATAAGCGGTAGAAAACGAACCAGACAATATGCATTTTTACTTGTTATCCGGAATATGTTCATTTCATATATTAAGATAATGATTGCAATTAAATGCAGGATCAGAGTGTAATGTCTATGCCTAATTTCCAAAAGTTCTACGATGAAATCATTTACATCTGCCAGCTGAGAAAGAAAGTATGAAACGAGAATGTAATAAGAAACACGAAGAGAAGGATAAGAAGATATGTGGTGGGGGTAAAAAAATGAAGATATAAAACGGTGGGAGGTAAGGCCGTTAGAAAGAGAGAAAGGGGGAAAAGAAGAGAAAAGATATATGAAGGAAACAAAGTAGGAGAGAAGAAAGCTAGAGAGAGTAGGAGGAAGAAAGTGTGGCTATGAAGGATAAAAGTGGGAGTTAAGAAAGCTAGAATAATGGAGGGAAGGAAGGCGAAAGGGAAAAACAAAGGTAGAGGAGGGAGAGGAAGAGAGGATACAAAAATAAAAGGGTGGTAGGTAAGAAAGCTAGAAAGAGGGAAAGGAAAGAGGATAAGAAAGAGAAGAACTGCTTAGTAAGACATATAGAGAGGGAGATGGATGAAAAAACGTAGAAGGTAAGAAAGTAAGAGATAGGAGGAGGAGGGACAGCCGGAAGAAGAAAAACGAGAAAATGAAGGAAAAAAGTGGGTGATAAGAAAACTACAGAGGGTAGGAATAAGGAATAGTGGATTTAAACGTGGGGGTAATAAAGCTAGGGAAAGGTGAGAGGAAAAACTATATGAAGGTAGAGAGATGAAAGGTAAGAAAGTTGGAAAGAGGAGGAGAGAGGAAAAGAGGATGAGGAAAGGATGGAGGTATAAAAACTAGAGAGAAGAGGATATTGGAGATATGATGGAGGTGGAAGGGGTATAAAATCTAAAAAAGAAAAGGAAAATAATATATCATACTTTCATTCAGAACCTTCCTAACAACCTCCTTCATCTTCTCAGTGTCTTCAAATCGACAATCCTTGATTTTTCTCCTTCAGTTTGCGGAACAACTAAAAATGTTTAGAGCAAGGCCTGGACTGTCGGGAGACTGAGGGACAATTTTGATGCCCATCTCTCTCAACACAATACTTTATCACAACAGCGATCTTCCGAACTGTCTTTACGTACCGACTGCATTCTGCAAATTAGTCAGCTGTGACAGGCAGAGTTTAATAGCATGCATTCAAAGAGCTCTTACAGCCGTCTCCTTCAATCTGGAAGAGCAAAAATTGGCAGGTATTAGGTTGGTAGTAAAGACATGCTAAAATTATAATAATCTTGAACAGTAACAGCTGCCTTCGCTAAAAAAAGTTTCAAAACCTCTGGAATGTACATCGTCCGTACAAATGCTTATATCGACCATAATTTATGAAATCAACAGGAGGAATCTTAAAAGAAAATAAACTATTTTCAAATAGTGACTTCTTCCTCTTCTATGTGCCGTCTCCTTTCAGTATGTGGGTGATTATAGCGCTCCACATCTTCGTATTCTTTGTACCTCTTAATAATATTCGTCTTTTCATCATCCTTCTCAGTCCCTGTTCGCTCATCTATTGACACAACCTCGTTAGGAAGGTTGCCCGATGCTTTCCTCTGTCTTCTTTGCCTTCAGTATGTTTTGTGAGTGTCGAATTCTCCAAGTCTACTTTTCTCGTGATGTATCCCAGAAATTTCAACAGTCTCTTTCGGATTCTAAGTGTAACTCTGTTTTTTTTTTCTATTTATTTTCATTCAGACTTCCTCGTTGCTCACATCTTCCGACCATGGAATCTTCAGCTTTCTTTCGTAGAACAATATCAATGTTGCCTCTAGTATTTTCTTCACCTGTCAAGAAACTGCCCTACATTAAGTTCCATATAGTACGATTGATGTTACATAGCAGTTCAACAGTTTTCTTTGTTTCTAACTGTTGTAACCTAGGGAAGGTTACTAAATAGAATAATCACACGAAGGTCGGTAAGAAACGATAATGCTTAGTACAAGAAGAACACATATAAGATTCGCCAGCGGAGCGTAGTAGTACTCAACTGCTAGATGTGAGTCAAGTGAATTCCACAATGAATCTCCAACTGCATGATATCTACCAACCGCCCCACGCGATCAGATGTGGCACAAGTCCGAATTTAATGTGAGATATCAGAACCCCTAGGCTCGGCACAAAATTCCCCGTAGACCCCGTATAAAACGTGGTCGGCTAGCTTCGTCTGGGGATCCTCTTTGCCTAGAGGCAGAGAGTTTGACCAGCACAGCTAAGACGAATCTCCGACTGAAGTCCATAGCTATTCTACAATACTAACGAAAATTTCCTGTTTCTTAATACATTGTTTAGGTTTTGTAAGGCGTATTTCGATATATCAGTTAGTGTTCGACTTTCTGTGCCATATTTTCCGTCAGCTGTTAAAACACTAAATATTTAAATGTCTGTAATTATTTGATTTTTATATTTCTAATTCTTATCTCGTATAATGGCCTGTTCTTCATGCTGATAGCCACATATTCTGTTTTCTCATAGGAAATTCTTTGTTATCACTTTCGTTTACTTCCTTGCTTAGAGTTACTATAATTTTCTTTATATGTTTGCAATCAGTCTGCTGTCATCTGTGTATCATCCTTCGTTTGTTTTAACGAACCGTGTTGTAAAGTTGCCCGGCAATCTTGAAACAGTTCTGTAAATTTGCCAGCGTAATTCCAGTTTGATATTGCGATCAAATAATCTTAGGAATTTCAAACTTTTATCTGACTTAACGAATAACCAATGAGGTTCTGTTTATGTCCTAAACTTCGATAATATTTAAAAATGAATCCCAGTTTTGATCCAAGATCAAGATAATTACAAGCTGAACATCGTCACTCGCAGAGAAAGATCAGATAAACGCTCAACAGAACATGTACAATGAAAAGCAGAGCGTTGATTCAGCGCATCCGTTGACTTGAAAGTTAATCCCATTTTGGAACGATTTTGATCTGAAGTCGCTTTCCTTGCATGCAAAATGGATACCAAATGCACAATACGATCAGAAGTGAGCCTCTATGGTCTATAAAGAGTTAAAAGCAACGTTAGTCACTCTACTTAGGGATGATCCCAGTTAATTAGCCTCATTTAGAAATCTTAATTCGAAATCAATATAACCAATCCTGTCGCGTTCATAAAGGAAATATACATTTGGAAACTGATTGAAGACTTCGACAAGGATTTCAAAGTTTGAAATTCATACTGCTTGGTGGGTGAGGCACGTTATCTAAATATATATACTCATTTTAGAATCATGGTGATCTTTCATTTCATGGGAAATTAATGTAGCGTGATTAAAAGAAAATATAAGATTTTTTCATTGAGAGTCAGTAAAATAAAACTGAAATCTGTTTATGAGATTATATTTATTTTCTAATTTACGGATGTGGAAAATATTCATGAAAGCTTCCTCAACGACCACCTTTCTTAAAATGAATGAAGCTTGGAAAAGACACATGAATTCTTACACTTCAGTATCTATTCAAATGATATTTAAGTTTTATTTGTTGCTGTCTTTTGTGATGATTCTTGTAGACTTTAAAAAAATATGCTACCTATCACAATAGATGTTATCCAAACATTTACTTAATTTCACGTTTCAGGTAAAGTTCCCAATTGTTTAAAAAATAAATTAATTTAAATAGAATTTATTTGTTAAGGATTGTTTTTTCTTACGTATTTTCCCAGAGTTCATGTTAATTTAGGAATTACCAAACTTTTTGTTTTTCTCTTATGCAAATGAATCCCCAAATCTGTAAAACAACATATTTCTTTTTGTGTATTAAGTATTTTCTATCATCTCACTCTGAAATCTTAAATTTTTTACATACATAATATATATATATATATATATATATATATATATATATATATATATATATATACTGTCCCATGATGATGAGACAAGATTTAAATACAAGTATCTTAGAATATAAAAATGACATTGACTACCAAATATATTTATTACATAACAGATATACAGCAGTCCAACATATTATTATTTGCATATAAAATATTAAATATCTGAGACAGTCAATAGCTCTAAGAGATATAATAATAAATAATACATAATACAAATATATAATAGATAATAATTTAGTAAATTTAATAAATAATACAAATATATAATAAATAATAAATAATTAATAATTTAATAAATAGTACAAGTATATAAGAAATAATTCGATAAATAGAGCTTATTTAATGCACACAAACATAGGACTGGTATTAATTATTAATAAGTATTAATTATTAATAAGTTTACACTATTTATATTCTATTTCCTGCGTCTTTGTTGTTTTTATCACGGCCGTTGTGGCTTATTCAGGTGCATATTGATCTGGATAACCTATAAGTAATTTCGAACTGAATCCGTTATTTAATTTACAGGGGTAGATAAGAATATAGGAAAATTTTATTTAGCACTGTCCAATTATTGCAAGTCCGCATTGCCTGATCCAGGGATTGAACTCACAACCACTATGCCATCAAATTCACAAACCAAAGTTATACCCGTAGGAAAAGTTTTGGAAGAAATTTAGAGCTTGAAAACTAACCTTCCCTGCTGATTAGGCTGCCACTGCCGCTGCTGCCCTCGTGTTCTGACTGCTGTTGTTGCTGCTGAGATGTTTTTTTGGTTACTGCTGCTGCAGTTGAAGTATTAATTAATAATATTTTCACTAAAGTGTTAATCGATAAATAAGTTAAACTAACTAAAAAAGCAAACGATAATAGAAGTGATTATAAAATTTAAAAAAAATAATATAAACTATTCTATAAAAATCAAGTACACAATAAGAAGAAACTCAAGAAGATAATGATAAGATACCTAATATATTGATTCATGACCCCTGACAGCAAAAAAGAAAGAAATTAAACTAATCACTTATTACAAAATCTAAAAACCTCCAACTTGGTCACTAGGACAACTTGAACAAAAAATCATAACTTCAACCAAATAATATTGTTTTGGAATTCGTTTACCCATTTGGATAATGTCTCTTTAACAATATAATTCAATTAATGCATACATTGGATACACAATTATTACATTATATCGCCAATTAACTTCCTATTTTTCTGAAAACACTTCAGTGACATTACATATCACAAAGCAAAAGACTACAAAACGTGAGAAGCAATCAGACAAAGCCTTACCAATAAGAGAAATATTATATCACAAGAAATAAAAAAGTGACGATATACAACGAAAGCATTAAGCATAAGAACAAAACAAAAACATCGATAAAACATTATCAAATTTAGAAACAAACATCTTAAATGCATCTGATGAATTAAAACAAGAACTAAACAATGATACGAAATGGCGAGAACGCGATATTTGTAAATGTTGAAACCGACATGAGACGCGAAGACAGGATATTTAAAAATATTTAATGAAACGAAATAGCGCCAACGTAAAAGCTCTTGATAATGGTTAATGAAAGCCGAAAGTAAATATTGGACAATTTATATTTAAATATGTACCAGTAACCAGGAAAATAGTAGAAATGTAGAAAGAAATACAAGTATCGTTAGCAAAAACATTCGATGGCCTTTAACCAAACTTGTATAAAATAATGCTCAAATACATGCATTATTAAAAAAATTATAAGAATCCCTTACAAATACATTTGATTAGATATACCGTGTGTGATGGGTAAATTTTCGACATTTTATAGTTTTAATTTTGCGCATGCGCTTTTTTTATTTTGAGAGCACCATGGCGCAATATAATCCGCTAGAAATTTGGAAACAGCATGCTGTATTTCTTGGCATTCGTGCCGGAAGCTCCAATACGAACAGTTTATACAGGCTGGGTGTCAATCTGAGGACAGTGCAGAGGATTCGGAAAGAATTAGATGTTTATTACGAAGGTACGCCTGCTGGGAAAACTCACTCTGATCTTTTTGATGAGAAAAGAATTCACGAATTTGTTGGCGAGGGCCTCAGATTCAAAACGGGGGCCTTGATGAGATAGTGTTTCCCTGGGTCAAGAGGGTGGCTGCTGGAAGTTCCTATGTCTGGCAACGTTATACCTCTATTCATCTTCCCACAGGGCCTCAAATTCAATTCGGACGATTGCATCAATTGGTGTTGCTGCCCTGAGTCAAAAAGGTGACTGCTATGTCTGACAACATAACTCTACACCATGCCATACAATCAGGAGAGGTCAGTCATGGCTGTCAGACAATTTATGCGACAACAACACACCTTATATTTAGCCATCTAACTCCCTAGACTGCAACCCACCCACTTGATTATTATGTGTGGGGCGCAGTTCAGCGAAAAACCAACAAAACTCCTTGTAACACCAAAAATCCACTGAAGGTAAGAATTATGGCAGCATTCAATAACTTAAACATGGAGACCGTCCAGAAGTGTTTCAGAAGATTCCGAAGTCAACTGGAGGCCGTGGTTGAAGTCAATGGCGATTTTATTGAATAAATGTACTCTTTAGTGTATCAAGATATTTTGGTGTAAATTTGGTAAATATAACTGTTAAAATGAGATGCCAGTGTTATTTTCAGTTTTGCATAATTTAGACGATAATTTATCCATCGCACACTGTACGTACAAATTTTGCTGCATCGAGTTTAACGTGTTCTCTGTAGCTCTTTACATATTCTAAACATTTTTGTCGAGAACTGAACCAGTGCATATGTCGGCGTATTTGTGTTTGTACCAGTGTATGAATGAATGAGAGCGCACACATACACATACATTTTTCAGAGTCGATTTGCACTTGCTGCGAATAAGCGGGTCTGCGTAATGTCCGGAGAAATACAGAGCAAAAAAAAAAAAAAAGAGAGAGAGTGAGGGAGAAAAAATATATCAGCGCAGCGCGTAAATTATGAGAAAGGAATTTTGATTACATATCCGATTAATTTCTTACGAATCGAATTTTCGGCAGGCACAAGACCAAAACTAAGAAAATATTTTTCACAGAATCAAAGCGAAATATTTCAAAAGTTGACAAGGGGTTAAAAAAAATCGACAGAAAATAGAGAATAAAGAAGAGAGAAATAAAAATAAAGCTAACGTCAGATTCCGGAAGTGCTATTTGAAGATGCGCAGTTCATTGAAAAATGGTCACCTGACCGGAAGGTCATTAATGTGCTGCCCATTAATTAGCGAACAGCATTTGCATAAGTTATTTTTGTTAATTGGGCTAATTGCTATAATTAGAGCTTGTTTCCTCCTACGTGAGGAAACTCCTGTCTTCAGTTTGTCTCCATTTCTACGATTCATAAGACATTTTTTTCCATAGCATTCAATATTAAATTTTATGGTGCAATTATATTTGATTGCTTTATGACTCTTCGTATATTATATTAAATGACTGCCTGTATGGCCAGCGGAAATGTCGCCGTTCAGTTAGCGGAGGTGTTAAATATAACGCAAAAATAAATATGTCAACGCGTCTGTCTGTGTCAGTCTGTGCTTCTTCGCAAAGATAGCTATTCAGATATTAATTTAAAAGTTCGCATGGGTGTCTGGAAATCAGAATTTTACAAGAATTTCTACATTGGCTCAAATATAAATATATATATATATATATATATATATATATATATATATATATATATATATATATATATATATATATATATATAAAAAAAAAAAAAAGATAAGATATAAAATCCGGTGTTCAAAATATAGATATTTTATTTTACAAAATAGCTCAATTAAATAGTTATATTATAAATTAATTGATTTAAAATATAGTTATTTTCTACACAGTTTCAACCGAATTTCGCTTGAAGATGAAATGAACTAATGCTTTTAATTTATTTGCAAAAAAATAAAATTAGGGTTTTAGCTTCTATTTTTGAAACATGGTTGGAACTGTGTAGCGAAAAATAACCATATTTTAAATCAATTAATTTATAATATATATATATATATATATATAATGTGTATTTAGGCAGTAAATGTTTTTAGGGCAAATATTATTAAAGACAACCGGCATTTTGTGTACATTAATTTTACTGATCAACTTTTAGAAATTACAAATAATCCTTTTCAGACAAAGGGAAAGTTTTTTCAATTTCTTTGTCAATTTCTCCGGGACATTTTTCTAACGGAATTTAGTCGTTGTCCGAGAAGGATTATTCACAATTTGTAAAAGCTGATCAGTAAAATTAATCCACACAAAACTCTTTGTAACACCAAAGATGCACGATTTTATTACAAGTTGTTCTTTTTTTTTTTTAGTTATCGATATCAAGAGAAAGAACATTAATTAATTAATTAATGACATTAGTCATAAATAAAATTAAATCTTCGTTCATATCCTCCATACCCACACACACACACACACACACACACACACACATATATATATATATATATATATATATATATATATATATAATAGCATCTATTGTTAGTATAATTAGGGATATAGATAGAAATAGGTAGATATAGATAGACATATTAGGACAATACATATTATTTTTAGTTGGTCAACTTGTTTGAGTAGACATCCTTATTTATTTGTTTTCTTAAACAGTAACATTAATATCAACCGGACTAGATCAAGAAGTACTACTATAGAGAAATGTGCTGCTTGACAGGAATTGAATCTATATCAACTTTTTCAAATTGTCTATGGGAGACGGTCACAATAAATAAAGGCCCAATTGGCTACTGAAACAATGCACATTGAAACAATAATATATTAAATATTAAAAGTAATAGATAAAATCGCGCACCACGATATATAATATAATTTAGTAAATGTATCATTACATATGAAAATCTTATTTACTAGTTATTTAATTGTTATATGTGCTTTTTAAAATATTTTTCTTATTGAAAACACCTTTCAGTTCTGTTGCAGCATGATTCATTAACATTTCCACAGTGATTTTATTGCATTCATATTTAATTCTTTCGTTTAGTTCATCAATATTCCATGGGTACATTTGATAAATACAAAATAAACATTTAATTTTATTTATTATATTCCTTTTATGCCTTCCTTTAATTTTTTTTCTTTCAAAATTTATTTTAAACACGTTTTGCTTGTTCAAATTAATTAAAAGTTGGTTTGCAATAAGAAAATCTTAAGAAAAGAAAGTATGGTAACTTCAAAAAATTATCAGAGGTACGCAATTGTCCAGTGACGTATTAATCTATGGATGCAAATGTCTAGGTACACAGTTGTCTGGTACGCAATTATTCAGTACACAACTGTCCGTCCACCAAATGCTTATAGACTCATATATAAATAACCAATATTAACCTATCCCCGGATCAAATAAATGCTTATAGACTCAAATATAAATGATCAATATTTACCTTTCTGAAAAAAAAAAAAATACTGATTCTGATATAAGACGCCATTATTTACCTATTCGAGATGGAAGCAGCTAGGCATGAGAAATCGAAAAGCCGAGTTTGAATTCTGGTCGTGTTTGTTATCTTTACATACGTCAAAAAATAACCTTATGACAGATACAGATCTCTATCTTCTCACCTCCCTGATATGGGTTGAATAACAAAACTTGCATATGGGAAACATCATGGCTATGTAAAAAAAAGTTGTTAATGAAATATTTACTTGCCAAAAAAATATTATTATTTTGTTTCGGCTTTAAATAATCCACAATAGGCTGTAAAAAACAAATATGCAGAAATAAGCATTCAATTAATGCCGAAGCCAATATATCTGCACTCATATATAATAAATAGATAACAGATTATGTTATTAAATAATCCGGTTTGTGTTGAAAAGTTATCAAATCAATCAACCAAAACGCCTGAAATTACTGACATGGATCAATGTTATAGGGAAAATGTCACACCAAATTCAGCTAATCACAGTGTCATAATGTTATTTATATGTATAAATGTCATATATGTGGTTGCAATTATCATTTAAATGAAAAGTAAATTTGTTTACCTCAATATTTACTATATAGGATAAAGTGCCTAAATGATTAATTATTATTTTCAGTTAATTGCCTTAATTTTTATCCATGATTCATTTTCTTTCTTTGTCTTTTCATCACTGTCTTCTTTTTTGAGTCTGTCTATATTTCTGAGATGAGGTATATAGTGTAAATTCAATACCCGGTTAAGGCAGTGGAGAACTTTCAGGGGGAAAATTAACAGGAGATAACTAATAACTGACATCCATCAAACATGGCACGTGGAACTAGAACAGTCTACCCCAGTGAGCGAAATAAAGGGTTCAGTTCGACATTCCAACCACCTGAAGAAGGCCGGAGCGTACAACGGCTGAAACGTTGTAATAAATATGGTGACAAAGATGAGGACAATAGTCCTAATAATGTAAATAATGTCTTCTTTTTCTTTCATATTCTTTCTTCTACTTTTCAAAACCACTATATTTTTATTTTTTTTATTTCTTTTCTATGCATTTTCGTCAGTTTGATATTTCTTCCTTTTTCTTTCTTTGCTTTTCTCTTAATCTCTCTATTTTCTCTTTCTTTCTTTACACATTTATCGCTTTCTTATTTTCTACTTTATCTTTTATTTTATTTTCTTTGTTTTTTTGTTAATCTCTCTCATTGTTTTTTTTTTTTTGTGTGTGTGTTTTCATCGCCGTACTATTTTTATCTGTTTCCTTCTCTCTCTTTCTTTTTCGTTTACATTTTCATAATCTCTTTATTTTCCTTCTTTCATTCTTTCTTTCTTTCTTTCTTTCTTTCTTTCTTTCTTTCTTTCTTTCTTTGTGCTTTCATCGATTTCATATTTTTCTGTTTCTTTCACTTATTATTTTTCCTTTGTTTTTTTTTAATCTCCCTATGTTCTTTCTTTTTTTCTTTCTTTCGTTCTTTCTTTTTTCTCATTCCTTATACTCAACTTATCATTGCATGACATATCAAAGCTTGGAAATATGTGTTACGATGACATTTCAAGTGTACATACCTGGACTGCCAGTTTACCTAACATACCTGATTCTGCCATTTTACTGTGCTTCGAACACTAAGCACGGCTTCTCTTTTACCTCAGTTCGTTACTTTGTCTTTTCACTATTTTCTTGTTTTTGTCTTTCTCCACTTCTTTCTTTCTTTCTTTCTTTATTCTATTTTTCTTTCTTTTATAATTTTCTTTACATTTCTTACGTTGAGCCTCGTGTCTTTATTTTCAATTTTCTTTTTCTTTATTCTCTTTCTTTTTTCTCTTTCATTCGTTTGTTCATTTGTTAATTTTTTGATTTTTATTCGTCACTTTTCTATTTTCTTTCAGTGGATTTCTTCTTACTTCCTTTATTTTGTTTCTATTCTTTTTCATATTCACTTTCCTATATTTTTCTTTTTTTCTTTTTCTACTTCTCATTTATATATTTTTTCTTCCTCAAGCTCATTTTCCTATTTTCTTTCTTTTTTTTCTTTCTCTTTTGTTCGCTTTTGCTTAATCTCCCTCCTATTTTCATTCTTCCCTTTTTTCTTTCTTTTTATCTTTCTTTCATTCATTCTTTCTTTTTTAATGTCATTGTTCAATGTATATACTATGTTTGTTCATCCAATGTGCATGAATGTTATTCTTTTATTTGCTATTGATGATAAAATCATTTCCAAAATATTTACTGATTCCAAAACTTTTAACTTCTGCCTTCTAACTCCGTTATTAATAATCAAGTTCGTCGATTTGGCTTTTTTCAAGACAACATATGACAATGTTATGACTATCAACGTCCCAAAGCAATAATTTCCGCTTTTCTTTTCCCCCAAATCCACTAACAATAAATGCCCTATGATAAAATCTATATATAAGTTTGAAGGAATTTACAATTTTTTAAATAAGATGGTGTTAACATTTAACGGTTTACAATCGGAAAATCATTAAACTTTTCGCCCAACAATTTTTTCTCATCTGCTAGGATTCTTGGTCTGACTTTCAAAATTATTTTTCTTTTTTCTTTTCTTTCTCTTAATCTTTTTCCAATTTTTCTTCTTTCTCCTTTCTTTTTTTAGTTTCTCTTCTCTCTCGTTTCTTTACAATTTTCTATTTTTTCGTTCATATTTACTTTCTTTATCCTTTTCCTTTCTTTATCTTTATTTCTTTACTTCCTTTTTCTTCATCTGTTTCCTATTTTCTTTCTTTCTTTCTTTCTTTCTTTCTTTCTTTCTTTCTTTTCCCATCCAGCTTGCTGTCTCTTTTTCTCTTTCTTTTTTACCTTAATTTTTTAGCTTTTTTCTTTTCTTTCTTTTCTTTATATGTTTCTTCCGATCAATTTTTAAAAAATATATTCTAATTTCGACGACAGAAAACCAGTATTGACGACACATGTCACATTCTGTCTTTTCTCACAACAGTGGGTAGCTCGATGAGGGTGCAGGTGTGACAAACCCGTAAGGGTGGAAAATATACGACGAATTAAACTTGTCTATCCATTAGGGACACATGACTCAGATATTTCTCCTCCCAGTATAAGTATCCTGGGATCATCACGACAGATCCCCTTCTTTCTGATTAGCTTATCCTTCATAGAAACCTCCTGACCCCTTCCAACTCTATCACATACACCTGATCTTCTCATAATCTCGAGTACACTCTCGACCTCGTTCTCACTTCCTGTTTGCATTGGACACACACACAAACGGTCATCCCATATATACGCAACTTGACGTTCCCTTAGCAAGCTACATTTGGAAATCGTTGATATCCCGATGGAATTGTCCTTTGCTACTGCGACCTAATCGATAGGCACATTTCCCGAAGGTGCTGAATGCATTGTTCGACTATTGTGTCGTTTTCAATGGTCGACTGGTTTAACGAGAGAGAGAGAGAGAGAGAGAGAGAGAGAGAGAGAGACGGAGAGGAGGAGAGACAGAGAGAGAAAAAGGGGGGAACGGCGCCAAACTGTTGCTATAGCACCAAAGGGTACTGTAGAAATCCCGACCGAACACAACCAGTGAGGCGGCAGTTGAATGTAGGAAGCAAAACCAACGAAAATCATATGCGAAAGTGACTGTCGAACTTTACAAATATATTCAAAAGTATAGCTGCTATTCTTGATTTCAGACACAAAACCCGTGGGAGGACGCATAAGTATGCAGAAATGATAGATCGTCAGGGTTGGTAAGAAAGAAGCGGACCGTTCCAATATGGCAGCTATCCGAATAAAGCTTACAGGGGTTGCTATGTTTGCAAATATATTCAGATTCTTGATTAATTCAGCTGTCATATATCCTTTGGTGTCGTTCCTGATTCACCTGCCTGTCAATTCGTGTTATTAATCCCGAATAGTTTGTTTTCTTAGCCGATTCCATATTGTATATATATATATATATATATATATATATATATATATATATATATATATATATATATATATATGTATGTATGTATGTAGTATTTTCTTGGGCATGATGCGAGAAAATGTTGAATGAAAATTATAGGCAAAAACGGAAGGTCATATTATACACAAGTACACGTTTTCAGAAAGTTTTACTAAACTTACAAAGCAGCCTCATTTAAAACAGCACTAGATTAGCATAATACATAATAAAAACACAAAGTATCCAAGTGCTTATGACAATTTCCGGCGTCTTGCATTACAGTCAAATTTGATCTTTAAAAATGCAATGTCAATTGTTATCATCTGTTTAATTCTTCTTATTCTATTGTTCTCTCTCCTTAATAGTAGCTTTTATTATACTAACACGCGCACCCCTTGCGTCCTAGTGTCTTTATTGCCTTACTTGTGTTGGAATGATCAATATATATATATATATATATATATATATATATATATATATATATATAGATAGATAGATAGATAATATTAGTGGTAAATATACATACATATGTAAAATATATAAATATATATACATACATGCATACAAATACGTATGTATATTTTGTATAAAAAAAATTCCAAGAGGATAGAATCCAGGTAGAACTCAATGTCCAGGACAGAGTAAGGATATAATAAAAGGTTTAAACACTAATATATATATATATATATATATATATATATATATATATATATATATATATGTGTGTGTGTGTGTGTGTGTGTGTGTGTGTGTGTGTGTGTGTGTGTCTGTGTGAGTAAAGTGATTAATACAGCTGCCTTAAAAACAAGATATGCAGGGCAAGTAAATATAGTGAAGATGAAATAATAATCATTTTTTTCTTTTCTTTTTTTTTTTTTTTTTTTACTGCTCCTCCTCTTCTCGACTTTCCGTGCCATAGCTGAATAATTTTTGTATGGTATGGTATTATGAACACTTATTACCCGCCAACTGAAGAGACCTAGCGGTCGAAACCAAGATTGTATGCTATTATATAAGGTGTTTTTAAACATATATATATATATATATATATATTCATGATCATTTTTATGATACATTTTCTGCTATGGTGCCTAGAATGTATGCATTTAAGTGCAGTACTAGATTTGCATAAAGCTCGCATCATTTTACATTAGAAATGGCAACTGTAAGTGCTATGCTAAAAATTTCTTCTATCGCACTTTTGGCTTGTTGAATTTTCTTCCGGTTTCTTGCTTCCTTGTCAACTTTGAACTTCAAAAATTTAAATGCAATGTCAATCGTTATCATCTGTCTTCTTAATTCTTGTCATTTTATTGTCCTCTCTCCTTAATAGTACTTTTTCTCATATTCTGTAAACAGTCAGTAGCATCTTGTGTCATAATGTCTTTATTGCCTAGGTGAAATCATTAAATAAAAATTGTTTCAAAACATATTTAATATGTCGGCAATATATGTTTTGTGAGGAATCGGATTAATTATACATATTTTCTCTCAAAGATTTACGGAAATATATTTACTGAAATTGATTCTAAAAAAATATCTGATCTTGAAGAGTTTGCTCTTTGAAAATGTTTAAAATTATGTCTATATTTTGATTTTCTTTTTTATCAAGTTTTCTCGCTTTATTTTTAATGCAAGATAATATTTATATTTTCATATTTTATTATTATATAAAAATATAATAAAGCTATATCTAACATAGAATTATGATAGATTAACACTTTATAATGACATTTAATAAGACTTTTTTAGAATTAATATGACCGGTTCCGTCTAGTCAGCACCTTTCCTCGAAAATAAGTTTCGAAACGGAATTTAGGAGAAGAAACACGCAATGGCGAAAAATTAAATTTTTAGTGAATATATGGATATTTACTTGACCTCCCCCCACTGAGTCAGGTTGTGACACAAGGTCAGTTTTTAACGTGGGGACCCGAATGTTTTTACTCGGGCCGCTGGCCTAAGCTGATCTTAGCTGGTCATAGCTTCTCCAAGCTGGTCATATCTGGTCTAAGCTAGTCATAGCCGTGATACCACCAGCACAGGAACGGAGCCCTGTCTGTATAACACAGAGATTTTAATGGATACTATGGTACAACTTTACCAAAAAAAATAATACATTGCGACTGCTGTACTACTAGATCGTTTAAAAAATTTATTTTTTTTTTTTAAACAACATCTAAAATATTATTACAGTTAGATTTACGTTAAAAATATTCGAACACAGTGGCGTTCCATATCACGTGACGTCCGCATCTCGCGACGGACGCTACTTGTAAACAAACAGTTATTTCTGAAGAAAGATTGAGGTCAATCTGAAATAATAAATATAAATAAATATTTTCATAAAAAAAACATTATTTTATTAATTTGCAACTTTTTAGTTGTTTTTTTCTATATATACATATTAAGAAAGTATACGTGACTTCTCATTATGTTATTATATATACATATATATATATATATATTTCTGTAGTTTAGTGCTAACAGCAAGCAGAAATATTTCTCCTCCCGATGCTGGCCATTTTGGTCGAAACTCTTCGAGGAATCTAAATGGAATAATAATAAAAAAAACAAAAGAATATTAATCTACAACCCAGTGTGTCTAAAGATTTTAATTTTTTAATTGTCCAATATATATATATATATATATATATATAATCTTTGCTCTAATCTTTAAGTAAGCATTGTTTGTGTTTATACTTGAGTCTATAGGTAACATTATTCGTGCTTATACTTGAGTCGATAGGTATATATTGGCCTAGATTATAATTGAATTTACAATCATGGAGCTCTTATTCTAAAGTTGAGAATAAGAACGGCAACTCTACCTACCGGTGACAACTAAAATGTAGCACTCATTTTTACCCAGTCTTCTGAGTTAGCCTGCTAAAAGGCTTTGTGCTATGTTCCCATGTTTATTTATGATACACGGCTTTGTAACATCTAACGCTTTCATGGTGGTTGACTGATTCTCGCAACATAACTTCATCAAAGTTTGCGTGAACCTCAGATATTCAAATCGATCGTAATATTTGAGGACATCAATTCTCATCTACAAAAGAGAAATCACAAAATGCTTCTTTTAAGCAAATAAGGAATTCACAAATTAAATTATCCCTGTTCTTCCAACTAATGTGAAGGCATCTCTAAAAAAAAAAAAAAGAGAAAAATACAGATGAGGAAGATGACACGCGTGAACACAGCTGCAAATCGACGGAAGTTTGTTGCACTAATGTCTAGCCACTGTGATTAGAAATCTACCAAAACAAGAGAGGCCCGCTCTATAACCTCCGATATAAAAAAAGGAAAAAGAATGGAACGCCAGAAAATAAAAGAAAGAAAAAAAAAAAAAAAAAAAAGAAAATAGAAGAGACTTTTAATTATATCAAGCTTCACGTCATTAGTTTGGATTCCTATTAAAATATATATATATATATAAACAGACAACCTAGAGTCACAAGGAAAGAAGAAACTGCCAGATAACTGTCCAGGGTGTAAAGTTAAGAAGTTAAGCAGTTATCTGCTTAAGAAATTTTCCCGCCCGTCTGGAGGCCGAGACAGCCAACTCAAATTACGAAGGACTCACTACTATTGAAATAAAATAAACATATATTATTAGTTTATACCTTTGATTATGTTAGTTTCTTTCCGAAGTTTCCGATAAATATTTCTCAGAACATCTGACACTTCTCCAGAAATGAATCTTCTATCCATCGCATATCTTGTATTATAGTGTTGTAATTATTCTATTTTATTATTAGCTATTGTTGTTAATCTCTAATAAGATCTATCGTAAGATCGAATATTTTATCTGTTGGGGCGCACCCACCTTCTAACTAGTAATGGACTGGTCCCTCTTATATAAGTCAGCTCTGGGGAGAGAGTCGGCGTGAGCAG